TCCGGAAACTGAGTCGAAGTAATTGGACCTACGGCATTTCGGTGCGCGGATCACAGCTGTTCAACTGAACTTCATCAGTTGGAAGTGCTAGTGACGAAAGATGTAAATTGTGTGTCGTTTTTATGGAAGGTGTAATTCACAACCAAGGGAATTAGATATATTTTGGATGTGGGTGAGCGTTCTAGTTGTTTGATAAAAATACCACAAATTTTCGTTGCAGGTAGTGGTGCCTAAAGGTTTGTGGCATTTTTAGCAAACAACTAGAAAGCCTACTTGCTCACTGGTTGCATATTCACCAGACGTTATTAGCAGCAGGCGTGTCTTCATGTGGCAAAGCAAATTGCCAAACTGGACACTGAGTCTCCACGCAGACTCTGGAACTTTTAGATGCCCAACGACCCATTCTGGCTGGAAGCGAACACAACGAGATTCGCGAGAACCTCAGGGCGAAAGTGCGTGAGATCATAAGGAGACCGCGAAGTCTGGTGGTCTCATTGTGCAACGGAAATGGAGGAGGACGTTGCCCCAGGTATCCATCGGAAGAATTTCCGTCTGACACGAAACGGGTAGCAGGAGACCTGGTATTAGCGAGACTATACGCAACGAGAAAGGACTGCCAATCCACAACTTAGAGCATTTGGCCCAACACTTTTAAAAGCAGTTTAGTTAACCAGAGTTGCCAGCTTCCTTATGGGCCACTGATCGCTCTACTCCCTGGGCCGTCTCCTTGGATCCACCTTCAGGTGCAAATTCGAACGAGACCAGACTGTTGAAACTGAACAAAGCAACAGCAGCAGATAGACTATCCCCAGCTCGCTTCAAATTCGGAGGACTTGCCGTTGCAGATGAATTGCACAAGTTACTGGTGAGGCTGTGGGAGTAGGAGACTGTCCCAACAAAATAGAGCCGCTTCAGTATAGTCCCAATTTTCGAAGGGGCTTACGTTCCGAATGCGGCAATAAACGAGCGATTAGTTTGATCTCCATTATCTTTAAGATACTCGCCTCTGTTCTCCACAGACTTGCTGGTACACGTGAAAACCAGATTCGCGAGGAGGAAGTCGGGTTTCGTCGAAGTTGCGGCCGTATTAATCACATCTTCACATTAGGTCAATTGTTGAAGCACCGCCATATTTATCGGCAAGCCACCGTACCGTGTTCCTCAACATTAAAAGTGATTGCGATTCGGCTGATTGGCGTGCACTTTGGGACTTCTGCTCAAGAAAGGTGCTCGAGAAATACGTAAACATTGTCAGAGCGCTATACGCGCACAGTTCGGGTGGATTGAGGGCTTATGGCAAATTTTCGTCACTCTAGTATCTCCGGCGGTGTGACACAAGGTTGCCAGCTGACATCTAATGGACAAGACTTATAAGGTGTGGAGTTGGTCGCAGGTGAACGGTTTCATGACTTGTAGTATGCCGACTACATTACCCTTATCTGTGACAGCTCCCAAACGTACCAAGTAGCAGTAGACAGGTTAACTTTACACTGTCGAAATGCAAAGTCTTCCTTCAAGATCGGCAGGGATACACTCCTACGCTGACCCTTGATTAAGAACAGCTAGAAGTCGTATGGAAATTCAAGTATATTGACAACTATATCAGCGCCGGTGAAATAGAGGATAAGACTATAAGCCGAATAGTAAAAGCTCGAGTCGTACTTGATCATCTTCACCATCTGTGGCGCCGGTGCGAAATCACCCTCGCCCTGAAAAGCAGAGTTTACAATGCAGACGTGCGTTCAACCCTCCTGTACGGCTGTGAAACCTAGCCTATCACATCAGCAGACATAAAGAGCCCAGTCACATTCGGTCGTCGCTGTATGCGCAGCTTAGCTCGTTTGGTGGGAACACCGCGTGAGCAACAAGCGTGTTCGGTGTCGCGTATTTGGCGCAGGAAGAATGAGTGAACCTCAGCACCGTTATTTCATGCACCAGGCTCCGACGGCTGAAGCACGTGTTGCGTATATCAGCACATCGGCTCCCGCGACGTGCGTTGTTTGCGCACCGCGGTCCGGGTAGAAGAAAATGAGAGGAAACCAAGGGATAACTTAGTGAAAGAATGAGTGCCCTCACTTCAAACTGTGCGGAAATTGATGCCTTCCGGTTGCCAGGCTGCGTTCCCAAGGACGATGAACATGTTTGTTTAAGTACACTAGTTGAGGCCGCGAAGAGTGGACCTCAATAGCATTTGTGTTGTAAGGTCTTTCATCCCTCCCCGCTTAGCTCCCTCCGCCAAAAAACGAGCTTCCACTGAACGGATAATGACAGTTAGCATTATAGCACTGGCATTTTAGTGTTTGTATTCTGCAATGTTTAGTATCTCGCTTTTTATATGTCTCAACCTTTGAATTGCGACAACTTAAATCTTTCTCACCTTCAGCTAATATGGTGATGACGATGAGGATGATGACGATGATGATGATGAGGATGACGATTATGATGATGATACTGATTAGAAGCAGCGAGTAGAGCATACTCTGTGTAGCTGCATCAATTGTCGCTCTTGGACATTAACGTATTAATTATCGTTCCGCTCTCTATATTTTGCTTCAGCAAAGTGTTTGTTTAGAAGCTTCTTAAATTCGGCCACTGAATTCGCCTCTATTACCGTCTGCGGCAGATTGTTCCAGGTATTCACCACGCTACGTTCGAAACAGAGTTGGTGAGCTACCCGCTTCAACTGCGGTACGATAAGTTTGTACCGGTGTCCTCGCGTGCTGCTTGGTGTGCGCCGATGAAGCAGTTGTCTCAACATGGGGTAAGCACTCAGATGTAATATCCGGTGCGTCATGATTAGGTCAACCCTCAGCCGACGATATGCTAGGGTGTACAGCCCTAGTTTCTTACATCGGTCTGCATATGGCATACCTCGTAAGTTGGGATTCAGCCTAGTGGCTACATGCTGCACCGGCTCAAGCTTTTCTACCTCGCACAGCGTAATGGGACAATATGCGGGAGAGTCGTACTCTATCATTGGTCGTATTATCGAGACAAAGAGGCGAGTGGCAATCTCTTCGGACCAAGTGCTGAAGCTGCGCCTGAGCGCCCAAAGCATCCGAAGGCTGTTTTGGTACAGCCTATTCGTGTTGTCAATGGACTTTAGGTCGCGGCGTGAGAGCACACTGAGGTCGCGCACGAAAGACGCGGGATGCAGCGGTTGATCAGCCACTGTGAACGTTCGGCTGTGCTCACACTTACCCAACCTCATGAATTGCGACTTAGCAGGGTTGATCGGAAGGTTAACCTCTGCAGACCATGTTGAGAGGCTGTCGACATCCTGCTGAAGTAAATCACAATCATTGAGTGTGCGGATTACTCTCCACACCTTCAAGTCATCTGCGAACAACGCACATGGTGATTGGAGTAGCTTAGGCACATCGTTTACATGGATCAGAAACAATATCGGCCCCAGTACAGTGCCTTGGGGCACGCCGCTGCTCGACGGATACCAGTCCGTTAGATGGTTGTCCACCTGCACTCTCCACCTCCGATCCACAAGGAAATTTCTGATCCATTTGTGTAGCAAACCACCAACACCGTACATCCTCAGCCTGTCAAGGAGCACTGCATGGTTAACCTTGTCAAAAGCCTTACTGAAGTCAATGTAAATGACATCGACTGAATGGCCTTGGTTCATCGCTTGTAACCACTCGTGCCTTGTCAACAGTAGGTTGGTGATGCACGAGCGACCTTGCATGAAACCATGCTGTGCGGAGGTCAACAGGTTTTTCGACTCGAGAAGCTGCAGAAGGTTCTTCTTCACGATCTTCTCGAGCGTCTTTGCCAAAACAGCAGTCAGGCAGATCGGCCGGTAGTTAACCACTTTACTTGGGTTACCACCTTTCAGTATAGGCTTTACGACTGAGCATTTCCAGTCGTCTGGTAACAGTCCAGTAGACAGTGACCTGTTAAACAGTTCAGTTACAGAAGGCGCGATGATGGCCGATAGGGACTTGAGGATCAGTGGGTGTATACCATCTGGCCCAGCAGGCTTTGTCCCGTCAAGATTTGCTAGAGGCTTGCGCACATCCTCAATATTGCAGTCCAGGCCGTTAAGTTCGGCTGGAGCGGTACTCGTCGAGGATGATGATGATGGTGATGATGACGATGATGATAATGATGATGATGATGACGATGATGAGGATGGTGATGATGAAGACGACAACGATGATGATGATGATGACGACGATTATGATGATGGTGGTGATGATGACGATGACGATGATGATGAGGATGATGACGATGATCATGAAGATGATGACGATGATGATAAGGAGGATGATAATGATGATGATGATGACGATGATGATGATGAAGATTATGAGTAGTGGTGCCGAGGCCAACGGCCAAGAAGGAACTGAAGTGAATAGACGAACAAGCGAAATCAGTATGCATGATGCAAAAATCAATGTAGTGGTTAGAATAAATAACAGAAAAATAAACTAATCGATTAAATAGAGAAATAAGTGAATCAGAAGGAGAAAGAAGTTAGAGTGTAATGCCTGCTAAAATAATCGACGGCGAATGAGTGGTCCATGCACACATACTCTATGTCGTTCCGCTGACTCAGTGAAACACCCAAACGAGACGCCAAGCAGTTGACCTATCGACAAAGGAGCCAATCTCGAAGTTGATTGGGAGCTGATCAGAACTGCTTAGAGAAACGAGGAACGCACTATGTCATCTGATCACATTCAACTTAACAAACGGCGTATAACAGACAGCTGTGGCAAACGAATAAATAAAGTGACTGAAAAGTAAACAAATAGTTTTCAATGCAAGAAAGGTACTGTATCAAATTGCATCTCAGCAGCGTTGTAACGCGCATATAGAATATGTGGAGTACAAGATGAAAGAATCAACAACTACTATCTGCCTTCGGGAGTGATCGCGATGATGAAAGGTAGACATCACCAAGACTGAAAAGTTAGTGCGCTGACTCAGCGCAAGAGGGCTGGGCACTATGCAAGTTATACGACTAAGGTAAGTTCACGTACCTTAAATTCGATTCCGAACTTGAAGTATGCAAAGTGGGCCGATTTCGCGGGGAAGGAGCGGCAGTTGACTTGGAATCGGAAGAACCTGATTTCAAGGGAGAGGGTGGGGGCACGATGGGAGGTGGCTCGTAGGGATTAAATCTGGGCAGTGCTGGCGCCAACATGCCGTGTGGTGGCGCATGTAGCTGTGGGGTAAGTTGGAATGATGGGGGAATGGACGGTCCAGTTCCAGGTACAACCGTTGTTCCCACTAAGTCAGTAGCGCCTAGAAAGCATGTCGGAGGCGGTTGCGTTAGACTCAGACCAAAAGGTGGAAGCCAAGGAGATGTGAGGTTCCTACTCATTGAAAGTGGCGGCAACGGATAGCTTCCTGGATAAGGAATAGGAGTCCCAATACTGGGAGTTAAACGAGGAAAGTCAAGCAGCTGTCCGTTTATAGCTGTGGAATGAATGTCTTGCGATGCATTGTGAGGAGTGGAGGTCCCAGTGGTATAACCAATGGAATCAGAGTGACTATGGACAGAACTTTGTGAAACAGGACTTGAGTGATTATTTGGAGAACTAGAGTCCTCGAATGCAGTCGACTGGAAAGCATTGGAAAGAGATGATATTGAGACTCCCTTGTCGTCGCGCAGAACATAAACAGTAGAGTCTGATGGTAATTTGGACAAATCCTCCGGGGTGATAAAAACGACTTTCTTGTTGGGTGGAACTGGACAATGGGACATCTGAAACAACAAAATCACATGGTTATGGTGCGCTTATTCGAAACACGATGTGTGAAAGGATTGCGACACTCAAGCTCAATCTGGATGGCGAGTAAGGTAAAGAAAACCCGGCCAGTTCAGCAAATGAAACCGTATCTAAAACAGATAAATAGTAGATGTTGCTCGCTCGCCACCCTGCGCTTAACGGCCAGCTCCACACGTGTGCGCTGGAAAAAGGTGTTCTATTACCTAATCAATGGGTAGAAATACTTGCAGGACAAAGTGCTAAGAGAGTGAAAAGGGGCATACGCCTTTCAGTGAGGAGGGCCTCTCGATACAAGCATTAACACCCGATAGCATAAATGAAAAAGAATGTCGTAATGACGTGGGTGACATCAAATATCATCATCCATAGCAGTAGCACACTAATATTTCGTATCGGCACTTCATTGCCGTACAACCATAGTGACTACATAAATGAGGGTAAAAAGGATGCCTAATGTGAACTCTAGATGCACCAGACAAATATCCAGTATCAAGACGCCTACAGCTAACCAACATCGCATCGTCTTGAACAGCTGGCCGCTGTGGAGCCAAAGTGGTGTCAGCAAGACAGCCTCTGTTGCGTCAATGCTGCACGTCATAGTTAATCGGAACCCACAGATAACTCAACGATAGTCCGGTTGGACGAAAACAAGCACGCCAATGATGAGCGGGGGCAAAAGCTCACAGTTTCGAGCCAAGCACAAGTTGGGTTACGATTGTCCCGACACCGAAAACGAGCCAAACCAGAAACCAGCACTGAGCAACCAGCAACATCTCATAATGCCAAGGTACCGATCCTATCCACCTTCAAAGCTATCGGCAGATAATGTTCGTTGAACAAATACTCTTGCTAAACGATGGTGAGGAATACGTAACTTCCACTCGAACCAAAGCAGTGAATGTAGTTTTACTGCTTGAGTTCACTTGCAAACATGAACATGACCGTTAAGTAACTACTTATGCATTCCGTTCGTGAGGGCATGCGACTTCGAAGCCTGGAAGGGACCAGCCAATCTAACGGCGCACATCCACCTGTTCACTGGGATCCAAACAATCATAGCAGCTTCAGCCCAAAGACTAAAAACAATGCCGACGTCAGCTTGACCGGCACTTGAAGCTGCGTTATCTCTAGACAAGCGCATGTGCGGGATCGCAGGATGAGCACGGAGCTTGAATCTTGCAGGCGGGTTTCCGATAAACAATAAATTTCTATTGAAAGGATCTCTAGTGTTCAGGCAAGTGTTACTTGTTGTCCAAACTGCAGCAAAGTGCGCACGTTGAGGTATGCCAGTCTTAGTGAGGATGGAGGCCTCCAAAGGGAAACGGATGAACTGACTTTGTCCGCTTGGTTGAAAATGGACTTGTCGGCTGGACTAGAGCGATGCCCTGCGATTGTGTGTGAGATGAAACTAAAAGGCAAGCGGCTATAAAAGCAAGGTGGGGGAGGGCCAAGAATTAAAGGGTTGAAAGTGGGGGATAAAAGTGAAGTTGAAGCATGACGCTAGGGATGAGAAAGGGCAAGCGGGGGATAATAAAGTGGAAAGGCCTGAGCAGTAAAAGCCAAACACCTATCCACCGTGCTCGATCCAGCAAATAGGGCCCCGTTTATTATCTTTCGCGATAGCCTGGGAAACAAGAAATTGTTTGAATGTAAGGTCATTGTGGATAGGATACTGTCAGGCTGACCAGACCTAGACGGGAGAACGAGTATGGTTCTCAACCAAAACCAGTGATTCGAAAATCTGACCGCAAGGCAGCGGGGTTCTCGTACTGGACTATACATAGCACGGCTTTCAGAAGGGACGCTCTTGCACTACCAACCTACTGGTGACGAGGGAAAATGGGCAAGATGAATAGATGCCGGCAAACGCTTAGATGTTGTCTTCGTTGACTTCAGCAAGGCGTTAGATAAGGTCCTACATCAGCGATTGCTGTACAAGCTCCGTGAAAGTGGTGTCAATGGACGCCTATACTCGTGAATCCCCTACCTTTTGGTAGATAGAACCATGCAGGTGCCAGCCAGTGCTGTTGACCAGCGGGGTGCCGCAAGGACCTGTCCTCGGACCTGAACTTTCGAAGCTGTTCTTCAACTACCCGAAATGCTCCAAACCGATTGCCTGACTTATGCTGATGACCTCAAGGTTTTGTCGGAGGTCTCGGACGTTGATACTGCTGATAAACTACAGGCCAACCTGATCTACTATACGAGTGGTCCACCAAGTGTAGTCAACCTGGTTTTGTGTGCCCTGAGGTGTCCTCAGCGAAGTGACACCGTGTTTAACTTATGGAACGGGGTTGAAGTGACAATAAAGGGTTTTGCGGTTAGCAGAAAATCTGCGCACCAGCTGAGGCTTCTACTTGCTTTATCTTCGTGTATATGCTGGACGAAAACGTTAAGATGTCAATAAGCTTCTCAGTGAGTATCAGTTGGACAGGAACGATATGCACTCCATGCTTATCCTTGTAGGTAATCCACTTCTGAGTCCCACTTCGAACGAGTGCAACATGTTTATTTGCCATGAAAACCTGCTTCCAGATGGTGGTTAAGTAACACAGTTCGCGTAGTGTAGTGAAGAACGTTGACCACGCGTTGTCGGCGTTCAAGTGAGGTTTCGGTAGCCAATTGTTTACGGAAATCAGTAAACCTTTCCTTTAAGTTAAGTCCAAGGTCGGGTGGGACTGGAACAATAGCAGTATCTCGTGAGTGTTCCATCTTGAGTGGATCGTTGAGCCAGGAATTGATGAAGTGCACGGAGTTATTGATGGATCTAATACGGAACACCCGTATCGCACCCTGGCCAACCAGTTAATGCCCACGTTTCCTGCCCTATCAGTCCCTGCCATGACAGTCACGGGAAGTAAGCAAAGAATAGGAAGAGAAATCGAAGGTACAAAATAAGGAAGTTCACTTGAAATAAGAAAATAATACCAAGATGTGAAGAAAAGCAGAGAAAAAAATCGAAGTACGAAGATGCGAGTTACTCTGAAAAATGGAAAGGTTTCGTGTTGGCACCCAAGAGTATCAAGTTGCCGTTTAAACCCTATTACCGTAGATTTCCTGATTACACTTTCCGGAAGCATGTTTCAACGCTCGATGACTCGACGTGACAGCCGGATTTCCGCCCTAATCCGATCGGACCGCGGTTTGTCCAGCTTCAAGGAATGACCGCGTAGAACAAACAATCTATCGGGACTAAATAGCCAAGATAAGTCTGGACCAATCTTCCCAGTTAACATACGGTTTGTAAGGAGTAGGTCTCCTCTAAGCCTTCGATAGTGCATTGAACGCACTCCCGAAATAAGTAGACGCTCGGGGTACGTCCGTCCCTGTAATCCCTCGACTAACCTAGTACCCACTAGTAAAACCCTCTCTAGCTTCATTTTGTCCCGGACGGGGCAGGGCGGACAAGCCTGGACGCAGTATTTCAGATGAGGCCGAACGAAAGTCGAGAACAGTCTCGTAAAAATGCCGCCCCTAAAGACACCGAAAGAACGTCATATTAACCACAATGTGTGAAAACCTCTGCTTGCGACCTTCTTCCACATATCGCCGGAGTGTAAAGTCGAGGAGTGTACGACGTCTGGATCAACCTGGCTAGATACACGGGAGAGTTCTACCCCAACGACTAAGTACTTCGCAGGAGGACAACCTCCTCCAATTTGAAGAACGGAGCACTTTGCCTGATTTATGTGCAGTAACCATAAAGTAGACCAGTCCCAAAGCTTATCCAGTGCTCGCTGAATAGCTTCGGAACCCCCAAGAACATCGACAATGTTCCACAGCTTCAGGTCATCAGCAAATAGCAGCGAAGGTACCTCAAGTTCCGCAAGTAGATCATTCACATAGATGGAGAAAAGCAGTGGTCCAAGCCCTGCGGCAAGCCAATGAGGACTGACTGCTTAAACGATAGGCCACGGCCTACCCGTACACACTGTTCTCTACCATCCAAGAAGGCAGTCACACAATGAAGGGCGCGGCCAGATACCCAGTAAGTCAGCTTTTGCGCGAGCCTCAAATGGGGTACCTTGTCAAATGCCTTCGAAAAGTCGACGAAAAGCACGTCCAGTGCGTGGCTGATATCCACTGCATCCGCCCAACTTTCGCGAGCCACCAGTAGACTCGTCAGACATGAAAAGCCCTTCCGGAATCCGTGGTGTACATGGAGAAATAGATTAAATCCACTCAGATGACTCTCCAATGAATCTCTCACCAGTTTCTCGAGGAGTTTCACCACTCATCATCAACAGCAGTACATCAGCCATTTGAACTGATGCTTCGCTGCCATACAACCATGAGGACCTATGAAATAAAGAATAAGAAGAGGGAGAGAAGGAGGACTTACCTGAAAACCTTAATGCCCTAAGCAAAACATTCAGGGTCAAGGCGCCTACACCTTGTGTAGACAACATTCCGTCACAAACAGCTGGCTATCGTGCAAAGATAAGGCGGAATCGGCGAGACAGCTTCCTTGCGGCTTTCACTGCCACGCGTCATAATCAGGCATAACCCCGCAGATAACTCAGCACGAAACACAAGTTAAACAGACAATCCGATTAGGAGACGGCAGCAGACGCGCCACTCGTGTCTACTG